CAGAATTTCATGCAGTGCTTAAGATGCACACAAACAACGGGTTTCCAAAGTAGCATAATAATACTGTTTTGTTATTATTTTCCTCATGGTTTATAACATCTGGTTTTGCTTTTGGTCATTAGTGAGCACTGAACTAGCCTTTCATGAAACTCCTTCATAGCCCTAAGATCTCACTGCCAAGTGGTGATGGTCAATCTTCATCATTTCTTATGGGGAGTCAGAAAAATTTTCACCATGTGTATCTCTTCAATCTGAATAGAATTTCTTCTCTAATTTTACTAATCAGTCACACAGACTTACAAGGATCTTCTGCAATGCCTCACATCCTCAGTATACTTCACATCCTCAGTATACCTCCTAACCTCCATCCTCATACCTTACATGCATTATTTACAAATACACTGACCAGCACCAGTCCCAGCAAAATCACAGAACTTCACTGATGACCTCCCTCCACTCCAGGTGATCGTTCACTCCCACCTTGTTTCTGCTTTTCAACTAAACCATCAAAGTACCTTTTGAAGCCTTCTGGAAATCCACTTAATCTGTAACAGCCAGGCCACCCTTAACCACCTGCTTGCTGACCTCCTTCAGAGAATCTCAAATCTGTAAGGCAGGATGCCACTTTGTAAGCATTCAGCTGCCAAGCCAACTATGTATATATGTGCCCACTGATCTTAGTTGTGTTATAGTTTCTACTCATTTACCCAACACAGACTTCACACTTAAAAGCTTGGAGTTCACCAGATTTGCACTAGAACATGTACTTTGAAGTGGACATGACATCTACCACACCTCACATATCATGAGTGAGGTTCTATAATGCCATTAATGACCCAGCAAATTCATCCTTCAATTCTTCTATCACACTTCAATTCTTGTGATTTCTTTCACCACAACTGTTGTTCACATATGCCTTCTGCAATACATGAATTGGTGACACAAGCTGCATAGTAGTCAAAGAAGTTGGGTGAAAAAAAGATGTACCACACTACAGTAGCTTCAGCCTAGAGAAAAAGGACAAGTTTACTAAATCTAAAACAAAACTGTTAAAAATACATCCTTAGTTCACAGTAGAGCAACTTCATTTTGGATCCAGGAAATCCTGAACTTGTGAATTACAAGCACCTTACATTGCCAACTATTGGGCTGTATCCTGTCTCATGTTGCTAACTTGCTTACCTACAAACCATCATCACTGCTTAAACAAAACATCAATGCTGATTTTATGTGATCCCTTTCTAGGAAGCTCAACTGTAGACCGAGAAGACATCCCAGCTAACTTGGTGAAAGACATCCGAAATTATTTTCAAATTAGCCCAGAATATTTCTCCATGCTTCTAGTGGGGAAAGATGGAAACGTCAAGTCCTGGTATCCTTCTCCAATGTGGTCTATGGCAATTGTGTATGACCTGATTGATTCCATGCAGCTTCGGCGGCAGGAGATGACAATTCAGCAGTCGCTCGGCATGCAGTGCCCAGATGATGAGTACGGTGGGTATGGCTACCATAGCTACCACCAGGGATACCAGGAAGGTTACCAAGACGACTACCGTCACCACGGGAGTTACCACCATGGATATCCATATTGAAAAGGGCAACTTAGCCTCTGACTGCCCCCTGTCTGCCTTCTAATAGCTACCCAAGCAATACACGGCCAGTTGCAGAAAGTCTTCCCAGGCCAACTAGATATCCACGCCTCGTTCTTCTACTGTTCAATCAAGGGACTTTGGTCATTTGCCTTCTCAAAAAAACGCAGAAGCCTTTACAGTGAAGCAATTCAAACCAGTAGTATTGAAGCTTTAAACAATAAAGACTCCTTTATATTTTTAAACCTTTATAAACAAAGGCCATCAGCAGGTGCTGTTTGTATTAAAACCAAACAAAAAAACCCTCACAGCCCCAGTCTATGGGCACTGCGGTAGGGCAGGACACAAACTGTCCAACAAATGTTGCAATGTGCTTTTTAGTATTTTTTCTAAGGAGAAAAAAAATAAGTATATTTATTGGAAAGTGAGATTTCATTATGCTTATGGAGAAACAAAAGATCACACTTCAGGTCTCCCCCAGAAAAGGAAAATTTAAGAAAGAAGTATGAGGCATGCTCTTTAAAAATAACAACAACAATAATAAAATCTTTTTGAAACACTTTGTTTAAAAAGACAGCACCCCTTCTACAGTGTATTAATATTGTAATTAGCTGACTTTATCAATGAAAATAAGATTAATGGCTATGGCAGAACTTGCTCCAATACAATATAAAGTTCTTAACTACAAAGCTTACTGCATAACCATTTATTCTTTTAATTGGAGTCCCTCTTCTCTTAGGTCCTGCCCATCTCACAACTAAATCCAAGTTAATGAGAGCTAAGTGGAAACACCAACCAGAGTTAGCATTGTCTGAAATACAGAAAACTGAAAAGCATTATTTTTATCAGAAAACAAAATCTCATTCACATATATTTTAAATGAGTTGTAACTAGCTCTCTATAATAATGCTTTTAATTAAACTATTACTCTAAATTTCAAATTTTCTTTTACCTCTTCTTCTCATACCCTCCCCCATAAAAGTGATCTAGATTAAATATTTATAAAACTATCTGAGATTAATTTGATCTGCTAAACCATCTCTATTTTTGGCACACTTTCTGAAATGGTTTTCTTCTCCCTTCTTATGAGTGTCTTTGGGCATTCGATTTGTTGCATCACCCTACTCTACTGAAACCAGTGGCAGCAGCTGCACACATAGCCATGGTTTCAACACCATTTGGGTTAGATTTCTAAACATTAAAGACGCAGCAGAAAGATTATGGAATATCCTGAAGTGAAGAAGATACCATTCAAGGCTTCATAGTGGCACAGTGGTCACTTCTAATGTTGAAGGTGTGCCTGACCAGTCACATTTCTTCTTATAATCCATGATGTGGGTGCACATCACATATAGATACATGCAACAGGGCACTGGTAGTAGGCTTTGCCATGACAGCAATAGCACAGGAATAGGGAGAAGGCTACAGCCCTAAGCTGGCCAGAGCATGCTCTGCATGTGTTTTAGCATTTTTCTGATTTCTTCACTCAAAACTAGATGCTTTCTTTAGAAACTTAGCCACAAAACTTCAGACGTTGCTTGCTCTTCTGAGTGTCAAAGGCAGACAGATGTGGAGGTCTCAAGGCCTCATTTTACAAACCTGGTCATCCCCTGAGGCTGGCTGCCCTTCATATCACAAGGTCCAGTCAGCACAGGATACAGCTCCTGACTTACCTTTCTCAGGTGACTGGAGCTAAGTGGGAAAAGGCAGGTATTTGACAGAACCAGTCTGAGAGGACTGCTGCCTGCAGAGAGCTTCCAAGCTCTCACTGACTACAGTACTTCCACAGCTGAAAGCAGTGGACAGAGAAATTAAGAAAAAAAAAACAAGAAGAATCACAGAATGGAAAGGTTTCTAGAAAAAAAATGGAGTGTCCTGTAGCTCATTTCTAGAAAACAAGTGCATCACTGTATTAAGGTCAGCTGCCTAACTTTCCTTGCCTGAAGCAAAAACAGAGGAAAGTATCCCAGATGATTAACAGGCATCTCCTGTAGACAGAAAGAAAAACGCCTTTGGGGTGTTTTCTTTCAGGTGTTCATTTACTTTCCTATAATCTTGTTTTTATGTAAAGTCTTTAAATGAAAGCCCTTTTAACTCACACTACAAATCATATAAACTAAATGTCCTCTGCTAAGCTGGAGGAAGATAGAGTTAATTTACAAAAAAAAAGAGTGCAACACCTAATCTAAATGGCCTTTTTTTTAGCCCTGTCCAAAATTCAAAGTTAAGTTGGACAAGTACCAAACCCAGCCTAGGCATTCAGTGGGAACTGCATTAAAAAGACAACTTCAAACAAGTTGTCCACTTATCAAGGGAGGTTGGGTTGGGATCTTAAACAAAAGTACACATTCAAATATTCATAAAATTTGAGGAAGACTCTGTACCATTCTACATTCTGGTGCCCATTTCTGCCTTCATTACAAAATGGCTCGAAATTACCAGTAACTTTTAGCAATTATTTAAAATCCTGATTTTGCAACCTACTTCTTGTGGAAAACTAAAAGCAAAGCCAGAAGGAACATCAAGTCAAAATATCCTTTCAATGACATGCAGTTATCTTGCAGGCTATGGGCATTTGGGAACTACAATACTCCAAATGAACACTTCGTTTGGCAAAACCCAAATCAAACCCAAAGCACTGGATCTGTCCCTGCAGCATCACTTCACGGACAGATTTACTGAGCTGAAGATCCTACTCCTACAGATCTTGTGGGAAGATTCCACACGATAAAGAAAAGCTTTTTTTTTTATACATATTTATCAGATTTGATTCAGCTCCAAGATGGCTGTTTTCATCCACAGTCTGTCTTTGAAGCTGCTACATTCACAAAATAGCTGAAATTAACCAAAATAAATACTGCTTTAATTGGCTTGTTATAAACAAGAGAAACATGAACACACCTCTCTTCCTGGGATTTTTTGTGAACTATTTCCTCAGACCTGGAGGGAGGAACATAACATCCTCAGCAGCAATTAAGTTCAAATGTTTGTGAATCTGGGCTCTAAATCAAAGCTCAGAAAAAGCTCTCTGCCCAATGTATTCATTAAATGCTATGAGTGCCAAACTAATGCTGCTCGCCAAAAATATCCTCATAAATTTCCCTATTGTCATTTAAGGCAAAATATAGTTAAGCTTTCCAACATGGAGAAGTTTCCATACAGTGGAAATACTTAATCAAGAAAGATTTCCCATGATCTATTTAAGATGTGTAACTCTAGAGAACTGCTCCCCCTTGCTAACTAGGGCTGTTCTCCAGCTGACAATCCTTCACAGTCACTTCCTCTAACAAATCTCATTTACATACTAAATTTGACCATTGCCATGAGTAGTACTGCTGCCAAAAATTGCATGATTATGTTTTTGGGTTACTATACACATTATTTTACTGCTAAGATGATGCAAATCCTTACCCATTTTTAGGCATCCGTTAACATTCCTGCTGCTGCAAAGGAGATATACAGTTCTCCTCCATTATTTTAAGAAACCTGCCTGGCCATCCAACATAATCTCCCTGAGACCTCCAACCTGAAGCCAAAAGAAAGATTTCTACATGTTAGACAGGACCAACTCCACAGTGCAAGTAAACACTTTGATCAACAATCCTATCACCAGTACTTTTGTCAAGTAAGCCACACAGGATAGCATTGGTGAAAATTAGAGGGGAAAATCATTCAGCAGGACAAGAGTTGAAAGCAAGAACTAAGTGCACTTTATAACAGTTGCAGATCAGTCATTTCTATATCTCATTTCTCTTAATGCTGATATTTCAGGCAGGAAGGTCAAACATATGTTTGCATCTGTACAGATGACATTCATCTTTGGTTTGATGCCCTGTCATTACAGGGATGAGGCTGATTTCTATGTTCTAACTTGCTTTTACTTCATGTAAAAAACTACTACTGCTCATGTAAATGCAAAGCAATCTAAAGCTAACAGTAGTTTCACTCTTCTTGGAAATACCTGCTATGACTGAAAGAGACAATGAACTCAGGCAGGTATATATTGCACAGCTGTATGTAATGAAAAAAAAGTCTTATTGCCACTAAGTCTTCAACAGTTTGAGCATTCTTTTCCAAGTTTCATCTCCCCAAATAGGTCATCATAAACCAATAAAAACTACATTTCTGGAATTTACACTGAAATATGCCTTCCTATTCAGTACAGATGCAGACAACTAGGGTTCCTTGTGTTGAAATGGCCTACTATCCATGCACAATGAAATTAGATGCAAAAGATTTTTCAACCACAACAGTAAATTAATTTTGTACAGTTATTCTTAATATATACTAGACAAAAATTAATACAGAAAAAAATAATAGTTTTAGATTCATAGTTTATGATTTGACAGTCATTGGTCACACATGGAAACAGGCTGCCTCCCCTGATGGATCAATGACAGGAGCTAAGTTAATTAATATAGCAATAAGTCATCAATACAGTACATGTAAGTAAGCTTTATATACTAAGCCTGGACAGAATGGCAGAGGGGAACAAAGGCAGGACTGTCTTCAGTCCAGAGAAATGCATCACTAACTGCTTACTATACACTGTGGTATGAGGCTCTGACACTGAACTCATTGCTTATCTTCTTAAAAATTCTTCTGACAGTATCTTTCAACTATGAAAGACACATTTTTGAAGGGAGGAAATTATAAACCAACATGTTTTCTCCTGCTATGAGAGAAGAGGCTTTTGGAACATACCAAGAATCCCTTATCAGCATCCCCATTCCCTTCCCAGTTTCAAAATTCTCTGAATAATTTGGAACCTCGCTAATTTTTCATCTCACTCAAAATACAATCCAGTAGATGCCTCAATGGCAATTCCAAGATCACTATGCCTGGCATTCTGCAGAATGTTTTCTCTCTCTACAAAATTAATCCAAGACCTTATCAGTCTGACAGGGTGGAGCAACACCAGATAATAGTACCACCTGTACCCTCTTGCTCAGTGCCCCAGATGTTGAAGGTCATCGCTGTAGCTGCATAATATTTGTTTTCAGATAGTGGCCCCAGTGCAAACTAAGCCTCTACACAAAGCCTTTGTAAACACGAAAAAAAAAAGACCCTATGATGCATTCATACTGTTCAACACATTTTTGTTTTATTCAAGCTCTTTCAAAGTTAGGCCACATAAGCTGCATGTAAAATTCACCAGCTGCTACAAAGGCATTCCAGATTTTCACTTCCCCAGACACTGGGAGACAGGCACAGAGGAATACAAATCTCCATATATACAGCTTGAATATTGTCCGCAACCACATTTGAGATCCAGCCCCAAAACAGTTTCGATTAGTCTGCCAGTGGGGAAAAACAACCCTGTTAATAAAAGATTAACTCTCTCTCACTATGAGCAATAGCACTCCTCTGAGCCAGCCTCATGCTAGAGGGAATCTTCATCTGTATCAATGTCACTGCCTGGCTTGTTCAACCTCTCAAATTCTTCTCCATCCTACAGGAAACAGAAGCAAAAGAGAACAACATGAGCAAAAGTCATCTTGTTATTAACACCAAAAAAAAAAAAAGAGCAAGGTTTATTTTGAAGGTATCATTTATAATAAAATCAAGATGCTGTAATTTAAATTTCTCACCAGTGTGTTATGAGGTTTAGGATATACATGCTCATAAAAACATTCCCTGCATCTCCAATACTTTGTAGTGACTTGTTGCCTAAAACAGCCTAGAATCATGAAATGGTTTGGGTTGGAAGGGACCTTCAAGATCATCTAGTTCCAACCCCCCCTGCCATGAGTAGGAACACCTCCCACTAAACCATGTTGCTCAAAACCCCATCCACCCTGGTCTTGAACACTGCAAGGGATGGGGCATCCACAACTCCTCTGGGCAACCTGTTCCAGCGTCTCACCACCTTCATAGGAAAGAACTGCTTCCTAATCTAAATAAATCCACTCTTTCAGTTTAAAGCCATGCCACCTTGTCCTATTTCTACACCATGCCCTTGTAAAAGGTCCCTCCCCAGTTCTCTTGCCAGCCCCATTTAGATACTGGAAGGTGCTATAAGGTCTCCTTAGAGCCTTCTCTTCTCCTAACTGAACAGCCCCAGCTCTCTCAGCCTGTCTTCAGAGGAGAGGTGCTCCAGCCCTTTGATCATCTTTGTGGCTCTCTCCTGGACTTACTCCAGCAGATCTACATCCCCAGAGCTGGATACAGTACCACAGGTGGGAGTCTCACAAGAGCAGAGCAGAGGGGCAAAATCACCTCCCTCAACCTGCTGTTTCTGCTGCTTTTGATGCAACCCAAGATACAGTTGGCTTAGCCTGTTTACATAGTGCTATTTGTTTTTACCACAGCTGTTCAGTTGTTAGTGCTAAAATAGACGACACCTGGCACACCAAAAATATACAACTTTGTGTTATTTACTGCTCATTAAAAACAACAACCTAAAAAGGCACCTTGTGGAATTTCTGAAAAATCTCTCTTCCAAGTTTAGTGTTTCTTAGACTTCAGTGGGGACAGTGCTCTCTGCTGGTTTCAGCGTGTATCCACAATCCGTCCCTACAGGCAGAGTGAAGGCACAGACACCACCCCTTCCCCTCAGGTCACTGCTCAGCTCAGCTGACGGACAGATCTAAGAGAGAGCCCTCCCTGACATGTACTACTTAACTAGATCACTATTCAAATTAGAACAAAAACCACTAGCAGGCCTGGAAGAAATATTTAGCAAGAAGAAAAAAATGTGTTAAAACTCAGTACTTTGAATATTACCTTTTTGTCTTCAGCTATCTTTGACTGTTAAGGTAGAAAGAATCTTAACATCATACATGTTGACCTCTTCATGATGTGGGCTAAGCTACAGAGATTTATCAGTTCTACTTAAATACAATAATTTCCCAGGCAGCAATTCCAATTTCTGAATGCCCTGGGCAAGTAAACTCTCTTGGTTATAAAGCTTTCAAGAAAGGACTTGTACAAAGCTGAAGTTGCTCACAGGACTGCCTAAAGTCACAGCAGGAAAGCAATGCCTACATAGGCTTCATGATTTCAAAAAGTAGCATATGGAAAGCAATACCCATGATTTTAAGAAATACTGAGGAGCTTTGGTGTTGAGGGATGAGTCTGGTCACATCCAAGATGAGTCTTCCAAACATTCCATAGCATAAATGGAGGTGAAACAAAAGAGAAAACCATGGGAGACAAGCACAGAAAAGCCTTACCCCACTTGACCTCTCCCATCCATCTCCTTTGACGAGTTTTCCCCTTTCCCGCAGACTGGCATATTCCAGGCCTCTTGCTTTACTGGCATTATAGATGAATATGGAGAGAAGCACTACAGGAGCTTCCAAAAAGAACTCTAGAGAAGGCCTGAAGTCAAAGATGATGAAAGACACTGTGGTGATGATGACAGTGTTGATCTGAGCAGTCATAACATGGAACATGTTGTCTCGGAACTTCAAGATGAAGGCTACAGACAGCCCCAGGAAAGCTGTGACAAATATAAGAGCCACGGAGAAGATGTTGTGCCCATAAAAGAAGCCACAGTTCCCTATCTGCCTCCGGTCCTTTGTCTGCAGCGCCAGCATAAGCCCATTGAACAGCACCCCAAAGGCGTAGAGTTTGCTGTTCTGCGTGAAGATACTTTCACCAAGCTGATCCACATCTTTCAACATCTTTTCATTGTAGATGTTGGCCAGGGCAGAAACAAAACACTGCACTAGAATAAGCAGATGGCCCAGGCTGAGGCGAAGAGGTTTCAGTGCTCCTGCCATGGTATTGGTGACATTCCATTGGAAGCTGTGAAGGAAACTTGGTGCTACGCAGTTGCCTTTTTCCACGCATGCTTCCTCAGGTCCAGCATAGAGAAGGCAGTGGTTAGACGGACTAAAAAACATACTGTGATGAAATCCATGTGCAGCCAAGCTTTGCTGATGGCCTCCAGTTCCTCGAGTCAGGGAAACGATGGACAGGAATAAAATCACCAGAGATGCCCATTGTACCCAAGAGAGTCTTCGCCTAGTGGACAAAAAGAGCCACCAAATTTAGAAACACAGTGGCATAAATTAAATGACAGAAGAACCAGGTCTATAAACCACATAAAGACATCATGCCACACAGATAAGGAGACAGACAGGCACAAAGAAAAGTCTTTTCAGAAGTTTTTCAGAATTAACAGTAAAATGCCAAAACGCAACACGTTTTAGAAGGCAAAGGGGGTCCAGCCTGGTAATCAAAGAAGTACAGAATGGAGTATCCTGAAGAGATAAGGAAAAAGAAACTCTTTCAAGATCCCATTATTTCTAGATACTGATTGCCCAACAACTTAAAAGCAACTGTTGTCTCCATGAGAATACTGGTCTGATGAATAAAATCACATACATTCAAATAATTTCATCATTTCTTTGGTAAACTTTCACTACACTTCACTTTTCCCCCATGATTTTGTGCCCCTTTCTAGCATTTTATGATGGTAACTCTTACAAATCTATGAATGTAATTTATAAGACTGTTAGAATTATTTATACTGTTTTTTCACTCAAGCAAAGCCTGTTTATCTTGGTGAAAATAAAAAATTTGGAAGATTAAGCGAACTGTGACACCACAAGAGACACAAAACTAAACCGAGAAAAAGCATTTCAAGTCAGACTGTCAGACACTGCTTTGGTTTATTAACACCTGCAAGGAAAGACATCTTTGCGCCACATTCAACACAAGCAAATTTTAGAATGTAAAGTTAATATCCATTTCCCTGTCAGTCTTTTCTGAATCTAAATCACATCATAAAGAGCATAAATCAGGCAAAGTGCAACACACGGGACAGAGTTTGGCTTTTGTCACATGAATAATGAAGAAGGGACGTATAATTGCTTTTCAAAACATACTAGGCAGTTGACCAGAAACTCATCAGGACTGACACCAAAGACACCTCTGTCTTTCACTCGTACTGATCTCATCCCCTTCTGCCAGATCACATTCACATTGCAACAGACTGGAAAGAAGTACTGGTAATCATGAAATAAAAGATTTAATGTATAAATGAAAGCACACAAACTTAATTCTGACTATTCAATGACTATATAATCATGATTTCAATTCTTTTCTATTAGAGTTGAACAAATGTGTAGAACTATGAAGGGAGTCCTAATAACCTAATATTTCCTATACCTTCAGATGTAGAAAACAAAACCATCTCTTCAAGCTGGTATAGCCACAAGAAAAGAGAATTATTATTCCCATCAAGAGTTGAAATGTAACTTAACTTCATCAAGGCTAGGAAGATCAAAAATTTCATTTATTTTAGTAAATACTACTTACTTTAGTACTATCCTGAAGAGAAGAGCTGTTGTTATAATGACAAAATTTGAGAAGAGTACAGCCATTGCCTTGAAAGAGAAAAAGGGGAATAAAGTTATACTCCAGACACAGTGGGACACCAAAAACCTACAGACTTCAAGTCTTCCCCTCTCTGCAAGGTGACAGAGTGAAAAGCACTGGTACTGAATTTTCTTCCTCACCCAAGTGGTAGAATAACACACCCATGAAATAACATTCAAGGCCCATTTCAAAAATCTCATGCAAATCACACAGTCCAAGTTCAACCGTAGTGGGGAAAGCTGTACTGAAACCAATGCAACAGAAAACTTATTTAACAGAAAACAGTTTAGTTTTCTATCAGATCAGTTCCCCAGCCAGGCTGACCAGTCAGCTGCAAAACCAGCTGCATCAGCACAAAGGAGGAAGTTGCTCCAAAATGAAAATAAGCAAAGAATAAAAAGGTGAGGCTGCTTCTGGCTGCAGTGCTATTTGCAGCGCTCAGGTAATCCCAGACTTGGACAAGGCACTTGCAGAAAATAAAACTTCTTGTATGTCAAGTGCATTTGCTGCATAATTTATGAAAGGTAAGGAGGTGCTTGACATGAATTTTCAAGACTGCAACTGTAATAAAAAGTCAGCTATTTCAAAGTACAACTGAAGACAACTCTAAAGCTACTGTCTAATTTGGGAATAACTGTATAATAATGTCAGTCCCCTAATCCATGGCCATGATCCCAAGCTGCAAACTCCTTGTGGCAAAGGATTGTCTGTTTTGTCTCTGTATTAGACACTTTATACTGGGACACTGGACCAAGAAGGCTCTTTCAGGCACTGCAGTTATCATCAAAGATCAGAATCTACCAGGACCAGCAGGAAAAAAAAACCTTCTTTTTGGAGGTTGGGATGTTTTGGAAACTGTGTGTTATTCAGGCCTGCCCTGTGTAGTCAGTACACGTACAAAAGATGCAAATATCTCAAGTCTTTCCTCCAATTCATCCTTATAGTGAACTCACTTTTTTAGACAGTTTTATATAAACGCATATATGGACTCGAGTACAAAACACAGACTTTGTCTTGAGTTTTCTCATCTGCATTTCCACATTCCCAATTTTGCAAGAGCAGAGCCTTTCCTATTTACCAGAGGAAAAGCACAGACCCTTTTCCCATTATCTTCATTCTCCTCTATTCCAACAAACTATCTGATGAATAATAATTCCCATGGAACAGCACAACACAGGGTCTCAAGTAAGCTGAGGAGTGACTGACACAAGAGATATCTGCCTAAGAAAACACAAATTTTCCACCTTGCAAAATTAAAACTCAATAAATATTCATGTTAAATGAAGACTGTGGAAAGAGAAAAATATTGAATAAACAAGTAAATCTAGCAGAAACCATTCAGGAAAAAAGGATTCTGATGCAAAATGTAAAAGCATTCCATGCGTACTCTGGTTTTGCTTTACAGTCAAAGCTCCCCATCCAACATCTGGTAACATAATATGATCAAAATCTTAAGAAGGGTAGTTAAAAAGAACTAATTTTGAGTTGCTTTGTTCTCTGAAGCCTCAAGGGACCTCTATCCTAGATGAAAAGGAATATCAAAGATCTCCATGCCACTAATTTGCATGTCACAAACAAACTCTTTAAATGTTAAGTCTTATCACTAGGAAATTTAGCCACTAAAATATCCATGGCTATAACTGAAGCCTCAAGCAAAAAAATCTCAGCAAAGCAACTCTATACTTCAAGCAACTACTCACCCAGGTACTACTTAGTCCCAAACCTACTTTGTTTTTAAACTCACATGAAACCAAATTCAGTCAGATACAGCCAAATCCCTTTAAGCATCTTGCCTCCATCTTTTCACATTCATTGTCTTGTATGCTGCCAAGATATTCTATCTTACAAGTATCTAGCTATCTCTTTTAATACTTGTCTATCATAATAATGTTACAATTTCAGCTAACCATCATAGAACATATTCAGCTAAAGATGCTAAAAGTTCTAAAAAGAGGAATCTTATAGCCAATGTTCTGAGGGGAAAGAGACAAGCTATGTCTGGGGGTGTGTGTAAGCAAAATAAAAGCTGTGCATACTACAAAAGATTACCTTAACTGAGCTAAATCAAATTGCTTAAGGACGCAATTGTATTTATGCAACCTCCTAAATATCAGGCTTTGTTCTGGCAAATATTATAGCTGAATTTCCTTCCTAAAACTGAAAAACCCCAAACCCAACCAACTGAAAAAAAAAAAACCCACCACCAACAGCAAAAAAAAAAAAAATCCACCACCAAAAAACCCCAGACAACAAACCACAGAACCAAGCATTTGTGCACGTTACTTTAAGATACCCAACTCCTCATTTTAATTAGATTTTCTCAGCTGGGTCCTATTCTAGACTCTGGACTAGCTTGTCCCCAACAGAAATCTATACCTAAAAGGACAATATTTTAAAGAGAAATTCTGAAAGAGAAGGCAGAAAACCATTTCCTTTGAATGTCCAACAGGGGCAGCCACAGTACTTTATAGTAAGCACAAACCATCTGTTTTCATCTTATTTCAAATGTAGATTCTGAACCAAAAAGTATCATAGTACAAAACTAAAAGAAAGCACAAAAACTGTATCATTTCCTCAGCATATGCAGATTCACTCAAAAAGATGAATGTAGCTAGAAGAAAGTACAAATTAAATTTTGTGCCTTAACATAATTATCAAATACAAAAATTAAGTCAGTTTTCTTCCTCCTCTCCTCGGTTCCTGTTACACTTACTCCCTTTGTGAGATTACATTTACTCACTTTATGTCACATACATAAAGTGGCAAAACCCCCACAGAAAAGTGCAGCTCAAATAACAGGAAGATGAACAAATGGATTGAAAGAAAAATATAGAGTTGAAGAAACCAAAGGAGGGAAAGTAAAAAACCAGTGCCCAGTACTTAAGCAATTCAGCCTTTTAAATTTCTAAATCACTTCGGATGGAGAAAATACAAAGACTCTTCTCTGCTAAAAGCTGTACAGCGCTGAGCAGTGGGCAAGAGAATGGAAAGGTCTGGGTGGTCAGGTAACAGATTATTCTTTCACCAGTAAATTTTGCCTTGCCAGTGTTACAACAGTAGATAGTCTAAGAACAGTATTACCAACCACGAAGACATTGGAAGTTCCTTTATTCAGTATATGTGTACTTACTGGCTGGAGGTAGGACAGTACATAGAAGACAATCAAATTATCCAAAAAGTAAAGAAAGGCAGGAATTGACCATTTCATCAAATTACATAAATTCTTCCAGGAAAGACATTCAACAGGATGATCCATACAACTCTTTTCTGAAAGGAAAAGAAATCAGTAATAAAGACATCTTTATTATTATCAAAAGCCCATTCCCTTGTAACAGTACAGGTACCACTGTTCTCTATTCGGGAACATCATTGGTCATTAAAAACCAAGGTATCACAGCCCTCTGGCAAGATGAGGGCAGTTCCAGGGCAGAATACACAGCTAGAGCAGCAATCTTGTGCCTATAGATGTTCACTTTCTTGCCTCAGCAGAGAAAATGTCACAGAACCTGTTACCCCTATCACTGGGAACAAAAATTCAAGTTTCAACCATTCTTTGAGGGCCAAAAAGCACTCCAGAGTCCCCACATAATAATGGCATCATTACTGGGTATGATTTTTCTGTGGATTATCGATCAAATCTAGAACTGAAACAATGGCACAGACAGTGGGTCCCTTCATAGAGCATCCAAAGGTCAGCCAGTAATGCCAGAAATACAAATTAAACCAGAACTCACTAGGAAGAAAGAAAGGACAAAGCACAAAGAATGACATTTACTTATGTATTCAGGACACAAACTTTAGGAGGAAGACTGTGATAAGCCTTAGACTATTCTAGAGTTGATGACAGAAGTACTTTGTTAGCACACATTTAAGAATATATAATGTTATCTAATCCTCTCCTGAAGCACCGACACATTGAGTTCAGCAAAACTCAGACATCTGGAAGAAAAAAAAAAAAGAAAGAAAGAAAACCAGAAAACATGTAATTGGCAATAGCCAATGATGGCAAACACTGACTGAATATATTTACTGTCTTAGGAAAGTCTGTACCAAATTGTGGAGGTAAAAATTTCATTGGCTTGCCAAAGCCATGACTGTTCCACGGACAAAAACAACAGTTCAATTTAACATGAGCCTCCAGTGCCTGACACCCTCTTCCAATTTAAATATCTGTTCTCTACCATTTTGAAATGCTATGAGGTTAATCTCTCACAGTTATGTTAAGGTTTTTACATCAGGATGGAAAAGTCGAGAAAGAAAAAACGAAAAATCACCTGCAATGCAAAATCTGTGGGTAACGGAAAGTGTCATCTATCATTAAAAAAATCCCAAACAAAACGAACATATTTGAAGAAAATCAAAACTTAGCAAGTCAACAGATTTTAGTTACTTTAAACATAGGTACTTACGTTTTTTCCTCTTCCATAGTGCCAACACCACACACAGGACCAGTTTTACTACTTCAGAACACATGTTCACTGTTGTAGGAAGGTAATCATATTTGTTATCTGTGGGATTAGGCAAATCAGAGAGAGTGCACAATGAGATTCTGACTCTTGCATTCATGATCTGAGCAAGAACCTATTTTAACCACCCCAATCAGAATTTTGGTCACTTTCCATAAATGCAAAAGGCTATATCAGCACTTTCATTACAAATACTCCAAATTTTATGATATATAACTGCTTGAATAGCCTCCTTTCTGGATTGAAATCTTTCCTCATTTGGTCCCAGTTTACAGTAGAACTTTTTTGTAAGAACTCAAGAACATCTTTAAAAAAAAAAAAAAATTAAAAGCAGGAATGTTTTCCCCAAAGAGCAGTATGGTATTTTTTACTCTCAGAAAAAAAATGGCTTCCAGGATGACACAACCTTTTTCCAGGACTAGAAATACTAGTCAGTTTTATGATACCATTTTTCTCCTAAGCCTGTTGCAATAAAAATATTTCAATCAAGACATGTACCATCAGTAGTGCTTACACACACTTTAGTCATTGAAAAATCAGCTATAAAATAATTCACTGCCTCATCTTTTAAGGGTAGCTCATATACCCTACAACCCAAATTATCACTTTATGTTAGATCAGTGATTATACAGAGACTTTTCATTGCAGAAACACATGTCCCTATACATATAATAAGATGTTTATGCAAAGAACTCTGAGGTGGAAAAGTAGGGTTTTTGTGTATCTGTTTTAGCCCAAAACATCAACCCTTACTTATTTGAGGTGCACCGTGTTTGCCCAACAGTACCTTCATTGGCAGAGTACTTCATCAGGAGGATTCTACTTGAACCCAAGACAATAAACACTCCTCCAAGCAGAAAGGTCTGGTTGATTGCCTTGGTGCAACACATAAATCGACTGCGGCACTCAAACTTCATTCTGCTGTCTCGTTGTCAATGCCCTTTGGACGGCAAGATGAAAACACACTATAAATAGTACTTCTGCAAACCATTTAAACCAGGTGAAACAAGTGTATTTTACTGCTTTGTGTTAATTTATATAAAGATGCTTACATCACAAGCCATAATCTCGTTCTACAGTTATTGTTTTCTTATTTAAAAAAAAAAAAGGGAATCACAGAATCATAATCACAGAATCGATTAGGCTGGAAAAGACCTCTCAGAACATCAAGTCCAACCAATGACTGAACGCCATCTTGTCAACCAGACCATGGCACTAGGTGCCACTTCCAGTCTTTCCTTAAACACCTCCAGGGTTGGTGACTCCATCACCTCCCTGGGCAGTCCATTCCAATGCCCAATCACCCTTTTTTGTGAAGAACTTCTTCCTAATGTCCAACCTAAACCTCCTCTGGTGCAGCTTAAGACTGTGTCCCCCTGTCTCTAGTTGTCTGGGATAAGAGACAGACACTCACCTGGTTGCAACCTCCCTTCAGCTGGTTGTTGAGAGTGATAAGAAGAGAAGGATATGCTACGAGGACCACCAAAGGGGTATAAACAATGTATATACGCAGGGACTCTTGAAGGTGGCAGAAAGAGGCTGGTTTCCCATAAGACTTGCATCTATGGAGTACCGATCAGCTAAAAGGATTAAATAAATCACACGCTTATTATTCTTAAATATTTTTTTAAGCATTCTTGCTCCTAATCCCAGCAAGGAGAAGTGCTACAAAAGCGGAGCGAGAGCACACCTCCGGGATGATCCGGCGTTCCCTGAGGCGGGGGAGGCACAGGG